AGGACAGGAAGGATGGAGAGCAGCAGAGTAAGGACCCTGGACTTGAGAAAAGCAGACTTTGACTCACTTAGGGAACTCGTGGGCAGGATCTCCTGGGAAGCCGGTCGGAGGGGGAGAGGAGTCCAGGAGAGCTGGCGGTACTTGAAAGAAGCCTTACTGGGAGTGCAGGAACAAACCATCCCGATGGGCAGGGAGACTAGCAAGTGTGGCAGAAGACCAGCTTGGCTGAGCAGGGAACTCTTCAGTAAACTAAGTCACAAAAAGGAAGCTTATAAGAAGTGGAAACTTGGATAAATACCTAGGGAGGAGTATGAGAGCATTGCTCAGGGATGAAGTCAGGAAGGCCATAGTGCAATTGGAGTTGCAGCGAGCAAGGGATGTGAAGGGAAATAAGGGTTTCTACAAGTGTGTCAGTAGCAAAAGGAGGATCAGGGAAAGCGGGGGTCCCTTCCCAAATGCGGGAGGCAACTTAGTGACAAGATGCAGAAAAGGCTGAAGTGCTCAATGCCTTCTTCACTTCGGTCTTAACAGGCAAGGTCAGGTTGCGGACTAGAGCACCAGGGAACTCCAGGCCAGTCAGCCTCACCTCAGTCCCTGGAAAAATCATGGAGCAGATCCTCAAGGAATCCGTTGTGAAGCACTTGGAGCAGAAGGTGATCAGGAACCATCAGGATGGATTCACTGGAGCATTGATCTATATATATAGCATAGAGCCCTCTATATATACTGCTCGCACAAAGGCTTTGCTAAAGCACTGGCACACTAGCCGGTTGGCTGTTACCCTGTAGTCCCTGCAAGTGCTTTGCTTCCGTGTGCAGACCCATGACCAGGGCCGTCCCTGGGGGAGGTGAATCGGAGCAACCACCCCGGACCCCACGCTTTGGGAGACCCTGCAGAGCGGTGACTCCGCATCCAGCTGCTCGCTATCCCCCCCACACCAACGACATCGATGGCGGTGGCAGCTTCTTCAGGACAGGGGCCCATGGGATCAGAGCACCACGTGGACTGATTTGCCCCAGGCCCTGCACCCTGCTCAGGTCGGCTCTGCCCACGACACATTTCTACTGGTGTGATTTGCCTTTATCCTGGTGCAAAGGGGGAGTGGACACATAGGACACTTTTACACATGTACGTGCTACAGCACCAGGCGCTTTTAAAAGTGCCCCGCGCTGCGGCACATACATTTGTATAAACTGTGAAAGTCTTGCCTAACCAACCAACCAACCTGATTGCCTTCTATGATGAGAGAACTGGCTCTGTGGATGCCGAAAGAGCAGTGGACATGCTATACCTTGATTTTTAGCAAAGCTTTTGGTAGGCTCCCACAACATTGTCCCAGGTAAGCTAAGGAAGTATGGGCTGGATGAATGGATTGTAAGGTGGATGGAAAACTGGCTGGAGCATCAGGCACAGAGGGTAGTAGTCAACGGCTCGATGTCCCGTTGGCAGCTGGTATCAAGTGGAGTGCCCCAGGGGTCGGTCCTGGGGCTGGTTTTGTTCAGTCTGCATCAACAATCTGGAAGATGGGATGTGGTACACCCTCAGCAAGTTTTCAGATGACACCAAGCTGGGGAGAGTAGTAGATACACTGGAGGGTAGGGCTAGGATTCAGAGAGACCCAGACAAATTGGTGGATTGGGCCAAAAGAATCACAGAATCAATGAGTGGGAAGGGACCTAGACAGATCATCGAGTCTGACCCCCTGCCATGGGCAGGAAGGAGCACTGGGGGTGGCAGGGGTCATAAGACCCCAGCCAGGTGCCTGTCCAGTCTCCTGTTGAAGATCTCCAGGGAAGGTGAGAGCACCACCTCTGGGAAGCCCAAATCAGCCTCTGCACCAGGCCATCGCGGGGCTGGGCCTGAGGCAGGCAACTGCAGCTGCCACCTGGGACTTGCCCAGCCACCCTCAAAGCAGAGCTCGTCCTCCCCTTGTCACCCTGGGGTTAGGAACACAACCCCCTCCAAGTCCCTGCGCACGGGTCACTCGTGCATCCCCAGAGCATCAGTGCAGGAGGGACCGTGTGCTCAGTTGTCACCAGCCGCTCTAGCACCAGAAGCCGCTACCTGGGGCTGCACCATCCCACTAGCCCCTGTGAAATGTTAACATGAGACCCCCCAGCTGCCCCTGCACCTTGCTACAGCTGCAGTAGCTGCCACCCTCCTTGCCCTGGCTTCTTCTGCCTCACCCAGCACAGGCACATGCCAGGAGAGCACCTGTGCAGTACACAGCCACAGGGGAGCTGCCAGGGACGCAGTGCAATGGAGGGAGGAGCATCTGCCTACATGTCTGTGCAGGGGCAAGCAGTCCCTGGCCCTGTATGGAAGCACGGTAACTCCCCACCACCCTGCCCTGAGCTGGCAGAGGCCCAGATTTGAAGGCTGCCAGCAGTGTCATGCCAAGAAGTGAAGGACACTGCCCTCCTGCCCAAGCCCAGGGCCAGGAGTCCAGAGACAGGCACTGGCTGCATGACTGGCACGAGTAGATCTTGACTCCTATTTCTCCATGCGGGGTGGACGGGACCTCGGGAGGTTGCATCCAGTCCAACCACCTGCTCCAAGCAGGACCAGCCCCAACTACATCATCCCAGCCAAGGCTTTCTCTACCCAGGTCTTCAAAACCTCCGAGGATGGAGACCCCACCACCTCTCTGGGTAACCTGTTCCAGTGCTTCACCACCCTCCTCGTGAGAAAGTTTGTCTTTATATCCAACCTCAACTTCCCTTGCTGCAACTTGAGCCCATTGCTTCTTGATCTGCCATCTGCCACCACTGGGAACAGCCCAGCTCCATCCTCCATCTCATGAGGTTCAACAAGGACAAGTGCAAAGGCCTGCACTTAGGAGGGAGCAATCCTTTGCACTGGTGCAGGTGGGGGGTGACTGGCTGGGCAGCAGCTCTGCAGAGAAGGACCTGGCAGCGACAGGGGACAGTAAGCTGAATATGAGCCAGCAGTGTGCCCTTGTGTCATGGGCTGCAGTCCCCAGAGGTGGCCGTGATACCCCATGGCCCCTTGACCATGCCAGTTCAGCCCAATGAGCACCCCCTTTCTCACCGTTGGGCACGGCCCTGCTGGACCCCACCGGATCCTGTGGGTTCTCGGACCCCTTTTGGGTCCCACTCTAAAATGGACATCTCAGGACATCCTCAGCCTTATGGGCTATATATGCGTGGCTCCAAACCGCCCCTTTACCATGCCCCAAGCCTCGCAGATGGCATTCACAGTGTCCCTCCAAGGCCTTAGTTTTACTTGGCCCCTGGTCATTACTGGGCTTTCCACAGCCCTGTCTCTCTCTCCCTGCGCCCACACTGGCGCTGGGGTCTGTGCACCCTGGATCCTGCACCCACACCGGCGTTGGGGTCTCCACACTGTAGTGGGCCCCCAATATGGCCTCCTCCGTCCCCAATAGCCTCAGCCCAATTCACTGGACTACAAACAGAAATCAAAATACAAGCCCCTGGGCCACAACATAATGCAAGCAGTTCAGGTGTGCTTTGTCCCTTAAAATGAATTATCCTTCCCCCAGCACAACATGCCTTGTAGGTCAGGGTCTGGCGAGCTCCTGAAATCCCTTAACCTGACAAGCAGCAGGAGATGGGCCATCAGGCTCCATCTAGGAGAGCTCCTTCCCCCTTAGCTGCCGGCAAAGGGCTGACCCTCTGGTCCCAGCCTGGGGTTTATATATTTCCCAGGCCCTGCCTCCTCCGGCCAGCTGACCATGATGCCCCAATTCCTGCAGCCGTGGTGACTTGCAGCTGGGGGGCTCCTGCCTGACTGCTAGGGCTCTCTCCCTCGCAGTTTCAGCCCTTAAAAGAGCAGGCACCTCAGTGCCCTGCAACACCTTGGTGCCAAGAAGCCTACTGGCATCCTGGGCTGCATTGGGAGGAGCGGTGCCAGCAGATGGAGGGCAGTGATTTTTCCCCCCGCTATTCAGCACTGGTGAGGCCACATCTGGAGTATGGCGTCCAGTTGTGCCCCCCCCCACACACACACACACACACTACAGAAAGGATGTGGACACATTGGAGAGAGTCCAGTGGAGGGCAAAGAAAATGGTTCGGGGGTTGGGGGCCAGGACTGGTGAGGAGAGGCTGAGAGAATTGGGCTGATTGAGCCTGCAGAAGAGAAGACCGAGGGGATTGAATAGCAGCCTTCACCTCCCTGCAGGGGGGCTGCAAAGAGGATGGAGCTGGACTGGTCTCGGTGGGGGCAGATGACAGGACAAGGAGCAATGGACTCAAGCTGCAGCAAGGGAAGTTGAGGTTGGATGTTAGGGAGTATTCTTTCAGTAGCATAGTAAACCACGGGAACAAGTTACCCAGAGAGATGGGGGGACTCTCCATCCTTGGAGGTGTTTAAGACCCGGCTAGACAAAGCCTTGGCTGGCATGATGGAGTTGGGGCTGGTCCTGCTTGGAGCAGGAGTTGGACTAGATGTGACCCCCTGAGGTCCCTTCACACCTGAATTTTCTATGATTCTAAGGAGAAGATGGAAGTGTGTTTGCAGTTGGTACCGGAGCCTGAACCTGGTCCGGTTACACCGCTCCCTGGTCAGAAGGATCTCTGCGTACAGGACAACCTGTCCTAGACCTTAATCACCATATTCCTGCTGCCTGCATTTGGCTGCGCTGAACTCAATCCACCCACAACCCATTTAAATACGTTCTTGAGTCGGGGTTCATGTCAGGCCCATGTTATCTGGGCCTGACATTTTACCTTCTAATATATGAGTCTTGATTCAGGTCATCCCTCTGTAATTCGTCTGAGTTTACTGCCATCTTGTTTCAAAAACTAATTGCACTTTTTTCTTTTTTTGATTACAGAAAACTAGTAGAGCAAAGACTTTGCTGCAAAGATCTCAGAATAACCACAGCGCGGCAGAATGGTTTGGACACTGCATTCCTATTGAACAACATCCTTAAAAGGAAGTGTATTTTTTTGGACTAGGAGAACCTTGTGCTTGAAATTGACGGGGGTGCAATTGACGTCCTTCTTGAAACTGGCATGATTGAAATCGAGGTTCTCGCAATTGACGTGTCGCTGAAAAAGGAATCAGTCGGCTCTGATGAAACTCGAGTTTTCAGGAAGGAAACGTTCTGCATTTCAGTTGCTCTCGCCTGTCCAGATGAATAGGGCTGTCCTTCCCATCCGTCTCGCCGTCTCTCCTCTTTCTCTCCGTCTCCATACACATTTTCTGGCATTTGCACTGAACCAGGATTTCTCCAGTCGTCAGAATAAAAACCTATGCAATGCTAGGCCTATATCATCTAGAATGGTGATGCTGGAAACAGGCTCTACCCCCGTCCACGCAGTGCTGGGAGCGTCTAGCACCACTCAGCCCCGGGCGCATCCCTGGGCAAACTACAAAAATGACCTCAGGACCATTTTTTTTTGGAGACGGTGGAGTAAGAGCAAGGGAGTGAGGCTTGTTTCTTAGGGTTGCCTTGGAGCTGGAATGGACCTACCCAAAGAGAGATTAGGGCTGACCTCTGAGCACTTCCCCCAGCCCGTAGCTTCCTTTCTTTAACTGTATACCTTGTGTCCTTAGGAAGAAGACCATCTACAGAAGTGTCTGCTGATCAACCACCCGGAGAAATGCAGCGGGGACGTCGACTTGATCATCGTGGTCAAGTCCATCATCATGCAGCATGACCGGCGGGAAGCCATCCGGAAGACCTGGGGTGAGGAGAAGGAGATGGAGGGGAAGAAGATCAAGACGCTGTTCTTGTTGGGCATGGCCTCCAAGGAGAAGGAGCAGGCCAACTACCAGAAGCTGCTGGATTACGAGAACTTCATCTACGGGGACATCCTGCAGTGGGATTTCCTGGACAGCTTCTTCAACCTCACCCTCAAGGAGGTCCACTTCTTGAAGTGGCTCAACATCTACTGCGACAACGTCCGCTACATCTTCAAGGGGGACGACGACGTCTTCGTCAGCCCCCGCAACTTCCTGGAGTTCTTGAAGGACCAGAAGCAGGAAGACCTCTTAGTCGGGGACATCCTGTACAACGCCAGGCCCATCCAGAAGAAAGAGAACAAGTACTACATCCCCAACACCCTCTACAACAAGAGCACCTACCCTCCCTACGTGGTCGGCGGGGGCTTCATCGTGGATGGGCCCCTGGCCAAGAAACTGCACAAGGCCTCCGAGACCTTGGAGCTGTACCCCATTGATGACGTCTTCCTGGGGATGTGCCTGGATGTGCGGGGGAGTTGGAGCCTGTGAGGGCTTGGCTCCTGCAAGATGGGAGGGTCTGCTGCCTCCACCCTCCATTGCAGGAGGGGCGTGTCCACGTCCCTAAAGGGGAGGGGCTTCAGGGAAACCCCTCGGGGGGGGCGGCGCAGAGCACACTCCCTATTTTGAGGTTGTCGTGTTACCGGCTATAGAGCTAGGGATATTCTTTAAGGGGGTTTATGTGGTTTGTGTGTGTTAATGTCTCAATGTGTATATAGGTATTGTTATTTGTCAAGGTTTAAAGAAATATTATGGTTAAGTTACTATACCTATGTGTTAATTGTGTTGTATTGGTGGTAAGTTATTCGCTCCATATTTGGTATTATATGGGAAGAGAGGGGACCCGGGCAACTATAGACCTGTCAGTCTTACCTCTATCCTTGGGAAACTCTTTGAGAAGATCCTCAAGGAGCACATCTGCGATGGGCCGGCCTCAGGGATGATGCTCAAGGGCAGCCAGCACGGTTTCATCAGGGGCAGGTCATGTCAGACCTACCTGATTGCCTTTTATGATCAGGTCACAGAGGCAATGGATGCAGGTGTCACCGTGGATGTAGTCTTTCTGGACTCCACCCGGGGTCCATGTGGCCTGTAAGTAACCCCGGCACGGTCCTCAGCTGCCTTGTTTCTATCAGCAATGCTTCCCCCATATATACGTGTGTGTGTATGTGTGTGGGTGTATATATATATATACACACCCACACGCATACACATACTGCCAGCACAAAGGCTTTGCTAAAGCACCGGCACACTAGCTGTTACCTTGTGCCTTGTTCTAGCGTGCACACCCGCGACACATTAGTACTGGTCAATTTACCTTTACCCAGGGACAGGCTTTCTTACAGGCTAGTTGACCTCCTCCGGCGGGCTTTAAACTAAGTTCGTCGGGGGATGGGGATCCACAGGAGCAAGAGAAAACTCA